GGCGGGACCCCGACGAGGAAGTTTGTCCTCCGTGCACCGTGAGAAAGATAAACTGCTTTCTAACCGCCAACGATTTCGTTTGCAGGTACACGAAGCAAATCCTTTCACAAAAGACCATTTCAGTGTGTCTCCACGAAGGTGGGCGGAAGTCAAGCACCAAACCGGAAACAGTTTGAAAAGCCGTAACCCGAGAAAAGGTCGGCATGGTCAATGCGGTTCGGCTTTTCGACTTTTCCCCCTGTTGTTTTGTTGTCGCCGGTTTTCTCGTTGTTATTGTGTTGTTGTTTTTCGCTGATGGTGTTGCCCTTAGCTCGGCATGTTGTGTCTTTTTTCGGGACGCCAAAAAAAATCATCGCCGCCGTCCACCCAACCCACACCTCCGCCCCGGCCGGGCAGTCAGTCAACCAGCCAGAGCAGCAGCGAGACAGCCAGTGAGTCAGGCCGGCTCAGCCCCTCGCCAGAGCCCTCAAGCTCATCAGCCATCAGCCGGCCGCGCCACAGCGAGGCGCCACGTTAAAAGACAAACAGCAACAACAAAGACGCGACAATTTGTGGGTCTTTGGCGCGACTTGGCGCCCCTCTTCAGCCCCCCACCCCCGTCCACCACAGATCTCCACACACACCACCAGGCACGAGCCGTCACGGTTAGAGCAGCCAGCAGGCCCCCGCCGCCATCTGCAGTCGCCCAGCGGCGGGCAGGACGACGAGCAGCAGCAGCAGCAGCAGGAGGATGAGCAGAAGGATATATAGGGACACCGCCCGTTCCCTTGCGCAGTAAAGCCCTGGGTGCGTCATAATGCCCGTGACGATACAGAGTGGCACAGCGCAGAGCAGAGCGGAGCAGGGCTCTCAAAGGCCAGCCAGAGCCCATCGCCACACGGGCTGGCCGCCACCATGGGCCGCTATAGGCAGACAGCCACGGTCGAATCATCGCCGCATCGCCCTCATTCAGCCCCCGAGAGCGCGCCATTCACGCTGTGCCGTATATGACGCCGGCGCCGTAAAGCTTGTTGTCCGTGACGGACAGGACAGATGGCCAAAGCCCAAAGGGCTATACCGGCCGCGCTGGTGGTGGGGGGGACCCCACGACGGGGACGAGGACGCGCTGCTGCAAATCACCCCCGCCGACGCCACGCCACGCTCCTCCACGCCCTAATGGCGAGAAGTAAGAGCATCCCCATCTCGGTCATCCCTTCACTCACTTCCGCTCCCCATAGTCCGGGACGCGGAGAGCGAAAGAGAGAGAGAGAGAGAGCCAACATTGCCGCAGCAGAGAATGTCATCGAATACATCCGTGCAATACTGTAACTGCATAGCGTAGTAGAGGACGTTTTCATTATTTACGCACAAAGCGATCGCGCAACAACAGAACAAATAGTGACGACTTTATTTTCGTTTTCAGTGTGGCTCCACCTCCTCGAACGCGCGAGCACCACACACTACGCGGCTCGAGGCGCGAGACACAAAGAATAAAATCAGCGTCCATGTCAACGGTCAACCCTACGCCCGGCCGGCCCCGGCCGCCCGCTAGGCAGGCCCCCTCCATCGCGGTGCTCCAACGCGCGCGGGAGGTGCGGGTGGGACGGGCAGGCGGCGCGGCCAGGACCCTCCACTCACTCCCCGGTTTACGATGTGAAAAGAGCCGGACAGGGAGGGGGAGGGGGAGGGGGAGGGGATCGATCCCGC